CAACTATATGCCTCCACACATATGTATATATTATATATGCCTTCATATGTATATGTATATATGAAGGAATATTTATACATGTATGTACACACATAGATACAATTATTTACATATAATATAAAATATAAATATTTGTAAATTCATATATGTATATTTAAATCCACATACATGTTTTTATACTATATATATATATGAATCTCTATATATTACTCTCTATATATAGGAATATACCTATAGGAAGACAGATATAGATAGGTAGATAGATAGAAGGAAATACTGATTTCTGAACTTAGGCTCTTGTGCTTACTACACAGATGTTCTACCACTTGAACCACATTCCCACCCCTTTGTGCTTTTAGTTGCCTTTCAGATAGGGTCTCACTTTTCTCCAGTCTCAGACCATAATATTCCATCCTCTTTCTCCCATGTAACTGGGATTACAGGCATGTTCCCCCATAGCTGGCTTTTTCTGCTAGACAGGGTCTTGGTACATTCTTGCATGGGCTGTCCTTCAACTATGATACTCGTATCTCTGTCTCCCAAGTAGCTGGGGGGTTTACAAATGTGAGTCACTGCCTAGAAACTTATCAATGACATTTTTCATGTTACATATAAAGGAAAAGAGTTTACATGTGATAATGACAAACTATTCATTGCTTGGGCACACAAATGTAGGTAGTTATTAATAAAAGCAATGTGCACTAATTTTTGGAAAAAAATAACTATCCTCCATCCACATGTTGTGTAGATATTTTCACTTATGTGGTATAGAGAAAAGTACAAGAATTCTGAAAGGACTTTAACAATAAAATTATAAATTAAATGATGTCAGGTAATGAATGCAGTAGATGAAGTGTAGATGTACGTGTGTATATTTCATACACGGTTATATCCACATGCAGATGTAAATTTATTTCTGAGAAAAAGACACCACATTTTTACTACTTTAGTTACTTGTCATGTTATATCTTAAGAAAATTGATCTTCTTTTACCCCCAAAAATGGAAATAAACTCAGTTGTGACTTTATAAATTTACATGAATGAAAGAAATAGTACATATGAACTATACTTAAGAAGATAAAGTGCCCAAAACTTTGATGTGGACAATAACTTTCTTCTCCTTTTCTTCCTCCAGCCTGGGATTTTATGGACCAATTTGTATCATGAGCTTTGTGCATTGAGTCTCAAAGGTAACATGAAGTCAATAATCCTCCTGTCCTTCTCAAGCCTGTTTTACATCTCCTGTATATATGGCTCTATCTCTGTCAGCTCCTCCATCTTTGTATGTATCTGGAAAACACTTATGCAACTGTATAATTATCAATATTGTTCACAGAACCTGTGACCTTCCTAGGCACTGGGAATGGGAATATCTTTGAATTGACACTGCATGTACATGACCCAGCAAACGATCAGCTTAGCCCAGTAAGTGCTGAGGGAAATTATGGATATGGGATTGACAATTGTAAATATTGTTTACTCATCATGAGGACATTTTGGGTGACCAATGAGAGGACTATGAACTTTGTGTTCTTCATCACTGTAAGGGTAAAAAAATTTATTTCAAAATTAGCTTTCTACCCACAAAATTATGCTCTTCTCAGATTATTGACTCATGGCATCAAAAAAGTGGGAGCATTTGACCTGTTCCCTAAGCATTCCAAAAAGACTACATAGTTAATCAAAAGAACAGGAGGGGGATGTCAGCAACCACAACAACAGGAGCTGTTACTGAGAGTTTCCTAAGTGTTAGGCTCAGAGCACTGTGCTCTATGTAATTTGCTTCATTTCATGTTCCTCATTTTTCACTAGTTAAAAGTGCTCATATTATAGTTATCTTCCATAAAATGAAATAACATTTATATTTTAAAGTATCCTCTAGAAGTGTATTAGGTATTAGATAATAAATCCATGTTTATATCAGGCTGTCAGGTTATAAGCTCAGGGCATAATCCCAGGAGAATCTTGTCAGGCTGTCCCCCTGGAAATCAAGAAACATTTCATTTTCCTAAATCATGGTGCTACACAGAATTGAGTAATGGGTGGCACCAGCTTATCTACCATAGGAATGCCAGCCAAAGATCACAGGCAAAGATCACACAAAGTAGAAGAGCAAAATAATTCAGCACAGGCATCTCTTCTGCCACCCTTGCAGGATATTTTTTCAACCACTCACAAAATTAATCCTGGTTCTTTTCGTCCACACAATCACAAAAGGAGACACATTGGTAGGTCATGATTAACCTGTTATTTAGAAAACTGTAGAGTTAAAATTATACCTGAACTGACCATGTGGTTAAGATTCCTGACACTCTGCTTAAAACTTCCTTTTTATTATGAAAAAGATTAAAAATGCTTAGTTCATTGGACAGAATGTTGGAATAGAATCTTTGTATACTTGCAGGTTTTCTTAAATGTTTGTTAATATCTCTGAAAATTAACATTTTTATCTGAGTTAATTTTTTGAAGCAAGTTCACTGAGTGAGGATTAAGCAGATAATGCATGCTCCACATGGGGTTAGAATTTTGATGAATGAATAAAAGACATTAAAAGAAAAATTCAGATATAATTATGAATAATGATAAGTTTGTCTTCTCTCCATTCAAGTAAAATTTTCTGTGGCTTGAAGTTATTGGTTTTTATATTTCTATAGCAGATTACAGAATATATTATTCTTGTGATTAAGTATGTATACACTATGTATATGTAAATGTATGACTAAATTTATTTCATTTCTGATTCCTCAACCAATAATTTGCTTAGCATATGAGATGTAACAAAAAGAAAAAGAGTGTTTATTCCCCATTAATTAGATACTCTCTTGTATCACAAAGCATTTCCACAAACAGTGTGTCTTCAACAAACTTCACCTTTCCTGTTTTTATTTTCCTCCTTTTAGGCATAGCCTATACAACCAGAGAGAAGATAAAATAGCTCTTATTTGTGTTTCTGTCATGGCCAAGTGACCCTTATACTCCATATAACCTCATCCTCAACAGTCTCTTAGGTGTGCAGCAGTAGGGCTAGCACAGTGGCTCAAGTGACAGCCCACCAACTTGGACAGTGCAAGGCTGTGAGTTCAACCCCCATTACTGCAAAAAAAAAAGTTTTAATTAGGTGTACAGCAAATGCAATCATGCTGAGATACAAATATTTCAAACAATTTAATTTTTCATGACTGTATAAAATATAAGTCTGGTATAAATATTAATATGTGCTTATCTGTCAAAATACATATCCTGTATTACTGCCAATAATACTAGTTAATATATCAAAACATTTTCTAAACTCCAGAAAATATTCTGAGACATTGGTTTTCAAATCTGGTGCAAGAAGGTATTGCCAGAAGCCAGAGATGGTGACTCAAGCCTGTACTCCTTGCTACTCAGGAGGCAGAGATCAGGTGGAATGCATTTCAAGGCCAATCTGGGAAAAATATTTGCCAGAACCCTTCTCAATTATTGGTTGGACATGATGGCATGTGCCTGTCATCCCCAGCTACTACATAGGGAAACACAAATAGGAGTATCACCTGGGCATAAGGTCAAATGCTTTCTCCACAATAACTAACACAAAAAGGCTGGTGGAGTAGTTCAAATGGTGGAATGCCTGCCTAGCAAGCATGAGTGCTGAGTTCAATCACCAGTGCCTCCAAAAATAAAAAAGTAACACAAAAATTTAAATGTACATATTCTAATTAAGTTGGATTTGGTTTGAGACCAGAGGATCTTGATATTTAAAACCACAAGTTGTACAATTTAAAAGATTTAAATATTTTGACAGCCAAATAAATGAGTTTATTGTTATTTACATTTAAAAGTTATGGAGGATTATATTATTTACATGTTTGTTTACATTATTTCATGTGCTTTCTCTTTCAGGTATGTGTTTGATTATGGTTATGTATTCCTCTGTATTCCATATATCATTTAAGTTTTAGTGTGCATTGATACAGGAAACACCATCACAAGTGATAAGACTTGCTATCCATTTATCAGGAAAGACTGATGTGATAATATTTTAATTATAAAGAGAAGAATTGCAATCAAAGTGGCCTTTAAGTCTTCTCTTAGTGCTAATATCTTCAAATGTAAGGAAGAATTTTTGTGATCAGGGAAACAATGAAGTATATTATCTCCCAAGTATAATGCAAGGAGTCAAGTAAATGAGTAAACATTGGTCTTCCTACATTTACATTTTATTATGTAGTTTGGAGTTAAAACAAACCAACCTGCATAAAAGTAAAAAAAAATTCAAAGTTTATTCTTATCATATTTAAAGATGTTTGACAGGTGCAATGGGCATCAATGACACATTTGGGTTCAGAATATCATATGATTGTGTCATAGGTTGCATCTTTTGAAAAACTAAATTTCATCAACCCATGAATAGTAGGTATATATTAAATAACTTAAAAACAAGCAGATTGAGTGAGCAGTTATATCCTTGAAGGGGTTAATTCAGAAAATTAAAAACTGATGAAAATGTCTTGGTAGGTAACTTGCAAATCACAATTTTTCCAGATAATGAACTATCAACATTAACTTAGTGTTTAAATAAGGCACTCCTAGAGTGTTAATGAATGATATAATAAATAGAAATTATACAATTATTCTTAAAATAAACAAGGCCTATTTAATGCTTCTTAATTTCTTTGAATTAGAGTATTTGTTTTACAGAGGGTGGATATATGTTATTTTACAGGTGTTTTTAAAAATAGGTTTTGATCATGTTCTTTTGTTAACACTAAAGCTCTTTTATCTTTTAAAATTATCGAAATGAGTGTCTGTAAATCTCATATGAATAGAAAGAAGTGGATATCAAAAAATCTTATAATGAAATAATTCAGGAAAATTGTGTTTGTTAGACCTGAGAAATTCTGTTAATGTATTGGGTCTCAGTTGTGAACTCTTTACTTGTGAATACTTCAAACTGCATATAGATTCATGAATGCCTATGTAATTGTTTAATTCTGCAACAAATTTTCTCTTTCAAAAGGCATCTAAGCACCACAAAAATACAAAATTTAACACATGTCATAGAATTTCATCTCATGAGTTTTTCAGAGGTTCCAGAACTTCAGCCCATCCTGTTTGGCCTGTTCCTGTCCATGTACCTGGTCACAGTGCTTGGCAATCTGCTCATCATCCTTGGCATCAGCTGTGACACCCACCTCCACACCCCCATGTACTTCTTCCTCTACAACCTGGCTTTGGCTAACATTGGTTTTAGCTCCACCACAGTCCCAAATATGATCATGAACATTCAAACTCAGAGCAGAGTCATCTCTTATACAGGTTGCACTGCTCAGATGTCTCTTTTCCTCCTGTTTGGATGTATGGATGACATGCTTCTGAGTGTGATGGCCTATGATTGTTTTGTGGCCATCTGTCAACCCCTGCATTACACAGTCATTATGAACCCTCACCTCTCTGTCTTGTTACTTTTCATGTGTTGCTTGATTAGTCTGTTGGACATGCTGCTGCACAATTTGATTGTGTTACAATCTCCCTGCTTCAAGGATGTAGAAATATCTAATTTCTTCTGTTATCCTTCTCATGTTCTTAACCTTTCCTGTTCTGATACCTTAATTGAAAATATAATCACATTTTTCATTGGTTTAATATTTGGCATTTTCCCCATCTCAGGAATCTTTTTCTCTTACTACAAAATTGTTTCCTCCATTCTGAAAATCCCATCATCAAGTGGGAAATATAAAGCTTTCTCTACCTGGGGATCTCATCTGTCAGTGATTTGCTTATTTTATGGAACAGGCACTGGAGAATATATTGGTTCATCTGTATCACATTCTCCCAGCAGAGGAATGGTGGCCACATTTATGTACACTGTGGTCACCCCGATGCTGAACCCTTTCATCTACAGCCTGAGGAACAAGGATGTAAGTAGTGCTCTGAAGAGGCTCCATAGTAATGTCTTCCATTTGAAAGTGGGTTAGGTAATGTAGTAAAACTAGACAGATTCTTATTCACATCAACTTGTTCTTTAATGGCTTTGATTTTTTTCACCAAATTTTATGGTCAAATATGGTTAATGAGTTGTGGTGGCAGAATTGTATACAAATTTTCAGTTGGTGAAAGTGGAACTTTCTGATAACAGATAATAATGATGCATGCAAAGCAATGTGATAACAGTGGAACTACTCTATGGAACTCAGGGAAAGAGGGAAATGAAAAGAGAATGATAGAGCATCAGTAATATCATATACTATAAGATATGAAGGTAGAGGGTAAAAGAATGTGTATTAAAAACTGTTGAAAAATAGTTTTGGGAGGTAATGGGGTAAGGAAGAGTATTTGAAAGGATTGAACAGACCAAAGTAAAGCACACCCTCAGTGGGCATACATTGAAACACCTTTTGAATATCAACTTAAATCTTAATAACAAAAATCAGGACTGAAATACAGGCACAGTGTGTTCTGGGTGGTAGTATTGGAAGAATGGAGGTTGAATGAAGATTAAAGTCATGGTACATGGTTGATGGACTTTGTAGACCTATATGAAATAGTACTAAACATCCTCTTGCAATTGCTTTAAGTGTGGTGGGGAGGAGGTTGAGGGGAAGAGATGATGGGGACAATGTAAATAATGTACAATGTAAGTGTAATCAGAATAGTCACTATGAATACCCCCTGTATAATGAATACATCCTAATAAAAATTTAAATTAAAAAGCAATGTAAGTGAAATTAAAATAAATGTAGGGCACACATAATTTTGTTAAATTGTTAAGTTTATACACATATACATACATATTTATATATGTATATGTATGCAGTAAAAATAGACACAGATGAATCTTTTAAAACTATGGAAGTGAGAAAAATAATAATAGATACAAGCTTCCTTCTAATTAGAGAAAAGATCCAAAATTTTGTGTACATATATTTTTCTTGTTTGTCATCTGATATTATTAGGAATTCCTTGGGGATTGGAATAACATAGAGCCATTTGGATACTTATGAGATCTGTGCATTGAGTGTCCAACATCATGCAATAGTAAATAATCAGTCTGTTACTCTAGTGTTCCATTGTGATAGCTCCATTTCACTGTGTTCCTACCTGTGCCACCTCCTGCCTTCTGTGTCTGCATCAATAGATTTACTGGACATTTTTTCCTTCAACAAAGAAGATAGAGACTGAACACTTATTGGGTTTGAGGAAAGTATGTGTTATGTGTGATTCCAAGATTTTGGTCATGTCTTAGTAGAGACATCCTATTCCAACAAGTACAGAATGTGGGGATGGATGGATAGTGGAAGAACTATTGGAACAATTGTTTCACCATCTTGAGGACAAGTATGAAAGTATGTACAGCACAATGGAAGAATATAAATATGCAAAATTTAAGTGAACACAATTGTAAATTTAAGTGAACACAATTGTACATTTTATGCACTTGGTTGTGATATGATTCTCAACTATCTACTCAATGTTTTGTTTTCCATCCATGTGGTTTTTGTCAATAAAGGATGGATGGTCATCATTTTGATCTTTTTAGATAGAAATCAGAGATAAGAATGCTAACTTCTGTTATTGTTAATTGCTCTTTTCCCACAGTTTAGGAAGGCAGACTTCTAAACCCTGAGTTTTATCACTCTAATCTCTTGAGTTACAATCTTACAAATCAAAATTTTCAAAACTGAAGGTATGTATAGCTCTAGGTTCTTAAGAAAAAGTAGGATTGCTTTGGAATTAACTTACCAACACCCCCTGGCTAGAGTTGCACCACCTTAGTCTTAGATCTTTATCCTGAAGTGGCTATCTCAAATTCTTCTATCAACTGGGTCTCACAGTCTTCATAGTCTTGTCTTATGACTTTGGCTATTCACAGCATCTAAATTTCTTCTCAAAACCTCCACCTTTCTTTGCATCTTATTGCAGTTCCTGTCTTATCCTCAGTATTTCTGTGGATTACTTTCAAAGTCTCCTACTGTTACATCCAAGAGCTTCACATATCAAGGTCTCTGCTCCTGGTGGTTCTTGGGAACTCTTCAGCTACTTCCTCACTGCCACAGTAATTGTTATTATCATTACTGGGACTGGGTACCACAGACTTTTCTCTGAGCTTCATGCAGCCAGTTCTTCCCTACTACCCATGATAAAGTGCACAAGTAGGCAAAAGGCCATTCAAGATAAGCCTTTATTGTGCCAAGTGTTGCCCAATGTTTTAATGCATTGTAAAGGATCCTCAGAGACAAACTTATAAATAGTGGAAACAGCTTCTTTGTGTAGCCAGAAAAGCAGTGGGGGAAGCCCACTCATGGGTTGTAATTTTACTAATAATAACCACATTTGCTAGATTCCAATTATTCTAGTCATAGGCTTTACATATGTTTTGCTCAAACACTGGGGAGATGCTCCTCCCATCCTAAGTGAGGATAACAATAGGTTGAACAAAATCATCTAGAGTTTGCCAAGGCCTGTCTTGCATGGAGTAGAGTCTTACAAACCTGGTGTAAGTATTTTGGAGTGGTCATGAGCAGAAGTTGTGGTTCTACCAACATCCTTGGCTTCAGCCTTCCATGAAGCCTGAGTGTAGTGTCCTCAATTCATAAATGGAGAGATTGAAACAGCTAGGATCTCATCTTGACAGTCCAATTTTCACCAAAAGAGGGTTTGTTCAGTTGACTTTTCTGTACTCAAGACAGCCTGGTACAAAGGAAAGGACTGATGGCTGTCAGTATAAAGGTCAAATCAGCCCAATACTTAATACTTAAGCTTATTTGGAGAAAAAGCTAAATATTAAAGGGTATTTATTGGCTGGGTGCTGGTGTTTCATGTCTGAAATCTTAACTACAGTTTCATGGGGGCATCTTGGTTGTTTCCATAGCTTGGCTACTGTAAATAGTACTGGAATAAACATGGGTGTTCAGGTGCTCTTGGAGTAGCCTGAGTCACAGTCCTTTGGGGATATCCCTAGGGATGGTATTGCTTTATTATATGGCAGATATGTTTTTAGATTTCTAAAATGAATGGATCAAGAAAATGTATTCGTTTTACACAATGGAATTTTACTCAGAAACAAAGAAGAATGATGTTCTGTCATTTCCAAGTAAATGGACGGAACTAGAAAACATCATCTTAAGAAAAGTTAGTCAGGCTCACAAGGACAAAAATCTCACATTCTCCCTCATATGTGGATTATAGACCCAAAACAAATGCAGTAATATTATTTTATATGGGTCACACACTAAGGGCAGAACATGCACAGGAGAAATAGGGAAAAGAAAGGAAACCTAAAACTTGACTGTGTTTGATGTGCTCACTGTTGTGAAGCAAATAAAGTAATAAATTGGCAGAGGCCATTATTGGAAGGAGACAAGGAAGTAGTGAAGAGGTCTGGTAGAGATGAACCAATATGGGTTGCAATACACATGTGCATGGAAGCAATGCTTGGAATCTTTCCATATAGCTATCCTTATCTCAAACTAGCAAAAAGTTATGCCTTCCTTCTTAGAGGGGGACCAAAACAATGTATACACGTGTGAGTAAATGTAAAATTGGTAACAGAAAAAAAGAAGCTGTCTCCTTTATGTTTTTGCAGGGTAACATTGGATCAGAAGGATCCTAGGGCTCCTTGACCCAACTGTCCAACTGTATGCACTTTCTGTTGAAAAAACTGCAAGAACACAGGTACCAGTGGCTCATGCCTGTAATCCTAGCTACTCAGGAGGCAGAAATCAGTAGCATCATGGTTTAAAGCCAACCCTGGGAAACAGTTTATGAGACCACATCTCAGAAAAACCTCTTTACAAAAAGGGCTAGTCAAGTGCTCAAGTTGTGTGCCTTGAGTTCAAACCCCTTTCACAGAAAAAAAATTGTAAGATTATGTGCCTTAATGCAAATTCTGCTCTTAAGTATTTAATTTCTATTTTCTTACAAGGTCATGTTTAATGCTTTGAAAGCACATTTTTTAAAAGCTTGTTTTACTACAAGGAAAAAATCATTACCAACATATTCTTGGTAATTAAGTTTTATTGACTGAATAATGAAGTTGAGTAAGTTGTTCACTGTCTTTTAACTCTTTCAGTGTCTTTAGTAATGGCTAGGAGGGTTTCTGATAAGTTAAGGCCACCACTGAAAAGAAGAGTACCATGAGTCCCACTCTGCTTCCCAGCTACCTTCATATTTCCTCTCACTTCCTTTTTTCACACTTTTAGTACAATACATTTCTAAGCCTCATTATTCTTCTTTAGCTCATAATTGATTTTGAGCTGAGGGCCTCATCTGCTCTGGCTCTTGAACCATGCCTCAATTCCTTTTTGTTAAGATGGGGTCTCCTAACATTTCGCTGGGTTGGCCTTGAACCATGATCCTCCCAATCTCCAACTCCTGAGTATCTGGAATTACAGATGTGATATCCATGCCTGACCTTCCTGGGCTATGATATGGTAGAATATGTAGAAGAATCTGTGTTATAGTTTGGAAAATTTTCTTTTGAAAGCCCAAAAATATATGTACATCATTGATGGCATTATCTTAATCCTTGACATTAGCTTTGTGATCTTATTGTGTAGTACCAGAGCACATGTTGATTTTTTAGATAATTCAGGTGTTTCCCTAGGATAATTTTGTCAAAGCAAAGTTTAATTTTACATGATAATATAAGATGCAGATTTTGTGGACATTAGGATTTAAACACTAGTTGTTTTCATTTATGTTCACTTGTTAGAACATATTAAATTAAAATTAAATTTAGAACTTCTCTTTACATCCTGAAGATCACCTATGAGAAATGAATAAATTGGTTTAAATCTTATGTGGTTCCATTACTTTGAGCAAATTAAATGGTATAAAGAAATACCCTTAAAGTGATCTGTGTTTCATTCTTGTCCTTCATTGATTAGGTGTCTGTTCATTGGTCAGTGGGATTTTTCCTTTGTACTATACCTGTACATGCTCTGTGCTTAAGTCAATGTAACCCCTCTTCTCTACA